ATGCGTATATATCATGATATAATGTATATATGGATATGATATGGATATCAATGTGGATTTTGTATAATTATAATATATACACGCTAATATGTACATATATATATATTATATCTAACATTTGAATACATTTGATGGATATAGTGTTATCTCAGGCTCCCCGCGGCTCCCTGAACGCCGCAGGCGTTGGAACAAACGGGCAAACTCAACGAGGAGGGGATGGGGTCAGAGGTTGTCTGTTTTTTTTGCCATGAAAGGTGGGGGACTTCACCAACAAGCAATGGGAATTAACCATGACTTAAATGAAATGGAACTCAACAATCACCAAAAGTCAGGATTTGACAATGAAACATGGAGAGTTTTGGTGATTTTGACGATGACAGTACTGTCAAGCAACGGGGTTTTCATACTTCGCCTGGAGATGTCAATGCCATTGATGAGCTGTACCTTAACCACAGACACCCAGATGGACAGCGCTGAAACTTGCAAGTTGTTATAGAAGATGATCCTTCCTCCTTTCTGACGATAGGAATCCGTATGTTTTTACGAAACCTTTCGGAAGAAGCAGATGAGAAATGGGGCTTGGTGGGTCACAGAGGTGATACGCATCCCATCTTGGTGCTGACACCTGGTGGTGACATGGCGAAAAAACCAGCAACAAGCGAGGTCTTCGATCTTTGTGACTCCATCAAACATCAGCGAGGTTTCCCCTAAGAGGATCAAGATATCATCTTAACTTGACGGTTAACATTGACCCACAGACCTCCTTTCCCCACCTGACCTGGCTGACAGCTCGGGGAGAGCGACGAAATCTTCCCCAGGCGGAACAGATGTATTTGGCCGTGAACGAATTTGACCTGGCCATCAACATGTGCGCCATGGATCTATGTCACCTTGGGTTTGAGGATTAGAAGTTGGAGTCTGGACGGTTCTGTGGGGTGCAGTGGTCGTACCAAATGGCAACTGGAGCATTTTGTGGTGACAATCGCCTTTCCAACAGTGATGTCGGGCTTTGGGGGGTGCACCCAAAAATCCATTGCTCCAGAACCTCATCTTCCCACTTGGATGTGCAGGTTAGTATGTGGGTACCCATAATGTAACCTGGTTTTATGCGGGATATACTGGACATCCCCCAGTGTCGGGACCTGGAGTTCACCCGTAGGTACAAGAAGCGCGAAGAGTACGAGCAGATGCTACGCTTGGTGTCCAAGTATCGCAAGGACACGGGCTTTTTCTTCAGCGCGAACATGGATGGTAAAAGGTGGAGTTATTCAACTGGTAAACTAACATAGCTATTGAAAATCACCATTTATAGTGAGTTTTCCCATTAAAAATGGTGATTTTCCATAGTTATTTTGACATAACCAGAGGGTATTCAACTGGTGTCATGGGGGAGAATGGAGGATTTCAATGTGGGAACCCGTTTGAACCAAGTCAGCCATGACAGAAGGGTTTGGGCACCGCGGGACCATCAAACAGGAACTCCTGAACGACACCTACAAACACATCGCGGAGCAATACGAGATGAAGGGCAACTTAAAAAAGGCAGAGCATTACTACGTTGAGGCGGGGCAGGCGAAACATGGTGAGCCCTGTTTGGCTTAGGCGCGGAAGTTTCATTAAAGAAGAGTAGCAGACTTGTGAAATGGGCAGCTAGATTCCTGGCAGAATAATTTCCTGGTTAGAATACATGTTTGTTGGTCAAACCACCCAATTATGTTGCTTAAAACCAGATTTCTCATGACCGAACTCTCCATTTGTTCCAGTAAACACAAGGGTAAACCATGTAAAACCAATATGGGTATGGATCAATACCTATATTAATACCATTTTTAAGGGAATGAACATCCATTTACCAGCTATTTTGATGTTCACCAGGGGGATAGGGTTTTGACACACTGCCATATTGACCAACCTGGACCAAAGCCCTCACCGAGCCGAGGCCAAGATGTGGACCAGCGCCATGTCGATGTATCGACAGCTGGAGCAGTGGGAGGATGCCAAGAGAGTGGCCAAGGTGGTGCTGTGGATTTCGCCACGATGACCGGAGAGTATTGTGGATTTATCTTAAATGGCTATGACTCTAGAAACCATAGATCTGGGTAAATTATAACGACCTCATTGTTCTCCCTCACTGGAATCATGGTTAGTAAGAGGAATCATCCCAAAATGGCCTTATTTCAGGTTGGCGAATTATTATAATTTACTCAGATAGATGTGGTAAACTAAGATATAACGTTGATGTGGACACTTTTTTGTTAAAAAATGACATCTCCATTTACCATTCTCTGGTAAACCAATATAGACCTAGATCGTTTTCCGGGAAACCATCGAACAGGTGAGCGAATGGGTTCAATGGGAACTTCAAAGTGAGTCGGCCTTGAACCAATCCACGTTGCAGCTTGTTGATCATCATTTTAAGAGTGTGCACCTTCCATCTTTTGCAGCCTAAATCACCTGCAGTTGTTCAACATGAATTACATGTACATGTTGATACATGTTGTCGTTTTTTCCAAAAGACTGTTCCACAAATGAATGGCCTATCCAGAGTTTCTTACTTCACATCCCCCAAAACATCCCCATCAGATTTTATCAGATTTGCAGAGGCAATGCCAGCCTCGTCTCACTTGGATACTTGGAGACTTGATGTTGGTTGTGTTTCCTTGATTTATCATCACATTTTCCATGATTTACCATGATTTACCAATGACTTACCCACCATATTATCATATAATATCCTCATACTTCCTAATTTACCATCTGGTAATTTAACATAGCTATGGAAAATCACCATTTTTAATAGGTAAACCATCTATAAATGGGCCATTTTCCATGGCTATTTTGACATAACCAGAGGGTATCTGATTTACCATGATGAGATTTAGCCATTGAACCACCATTCACAGCTTCACTTCACAGCTCCGCAGATGCACGGCGGCAAACAAGCCTTTGAGAAGGTTGTCCTGGCGCAAGCGCACGTGTGCCCGGCCTCGTTTGGACCACGGTTAAATGCAGCTGTGCGGCTGAAAAATATGGATATCTGATTGGTGGTTTGGAACATGAATGTCATTTTTCCGTCCAAAATTGGGGTTTGAATCATCATCCCAACTGACGAACTCACTCACTCCATGATTTTTCAGAGGGGTAGGCTTGAAACCACCAACCAGTATATTATTAACCATCATTAACCATATAATAACCATTAGTATTAACCATATATTAACAGTATATTACCAACCAATGGTAGGTTGAAACCACCAACCAGAGGGTATCATACCATATGGGGATGGGTCAACACCTGCCAGGCCACGTTCAAAGAGCACGGTGCCGAGGTGCGTATGCGCCAGGGATGGCACACCGAAATCCCCCAAAAGACACAGGGGGTAAACACGGGTTGAACGGAAAATAACTTTTAGATGATGGAAAGTATCCCCTTTTTTGATACTTCTACTGGATTTTGATGATTTTGATGATAGAACCGACAAAAACAGTCCGAATCTTAGCTTCAGCAGTTGGTATGTCGACCTTCGTTGACCAAAACATCTCAAAACATCAACAAAGAATGACGGCAAAATGACGAAGCTGCAGCCTGTGTTTGGCAGGGCGGCTTGAGAGGAGGGGATGCACCCTCCGGATGCAATTTGTTCAAACATGGGGATAGCCAATAGCCTGCAAAATGGGGATGTAACTTGCAACAACAGGGATTTAAACATTTTAACCCACCAAATTGTTGGGTTGACGGGGGGGGGTTAGCCCCGCTTCCAATTGTTTTGGTTCGTCTGTCTGTCAAAGGCAAAGTGCATATCATCAAAAATTAGTGTTTCGCTGTGGCGAAATGGCAGTTTTCAAACATGCTTATGATGTGTCATTGACTTGAGTTCTGCTTAGCAGTGTCAACATAACTTTCATTTTTTCAAAAAAATGGATGTTGGGAGCAACCCTTACAGGGGTCTTTTTTTCATTGATGTGTCAAAGGCAAAGTCACATGATCAAAAAGGAGTGTTTCGCCGTGGCGAAATGACAATTTTCAAACATGGTTATGTTGTGTCATTGACTTTTACAGGGGTTTGTTGCGGCGACACATTTGCATGTTGAGCCCTTTTTTTCACTTGTCTTCCATCCACGAGACATCTTCAAAACATTTCACATGACTGACTTTGTCAGTCATGTGGGCAATGAATTGAGCGAACGCCATCATAGTCGCTTCCAGGCCTAAGTTCTTGTGAATGTAAAGTGCTGACAAACCATCCACGTGTGCAGTTTTCAATGAGAGGCCTCCAAGCTTATTGTTTCGTCTCAGCTGCTGTTTCAGCAGAGCTGTGTGAGATTCTGCGACCTGGTCTCCTCCGACCATGGTTACTTTATGCCGGCCAGTTTGAGCTGCTTTGCAGCCAATGGCTTTCAAGGCTGTTGTGGAAACCTTTCTCTTTTTGAGGGACTGTACAGGTGTGTATTCTGACAAGCTATGTCTAGCAGTGACTGCTTCCAAGTTCAATTTTTTTCTAGCTCCCTTCAATCCTTTGGAGGCATCGGAGCCCAGGATGTGTTTGCTGGGGTTCACTTTGTGTTGCAAGAGCGGCACAACTTCGTCTAAAGTCTCTGGCGGGCCAGGAGCAGATGTAGCCGTGAAGCGGTCAGGCAAAGGATAGAAAGCGCTTTGTTTGTTTTTTCTGCTGACAGCCACTAGAAACCGACCACCATGCACTGCCACTTTGGAAGTTGGTTTCTTGGCAACCGTGTTCCCGGCTGGCTTCTTTGTCATTTTTCGTTTCTTTGACCCCACCTTGTTTTTTCTGGTCGCCGTACGACACGAATCTACCTCCAGGATTCCGGCGTCAAAGGTCATGGATTTGTTTTTCTGAAACTCAGCCCAACCTGTCACCATGCGAGCTTGCTTGTAAATGGAATCGACATAGTCATGGGATCGCCCAACAATGTGCGCAGCTGCATCTTGAGGAATCTTAGCACTGACACAATAAACCGTACGTACGAAGCCTTGCATGTCTGGTTCATGTCCACCTCTCAGTCGGTTGATGAAGGGTGTGTAGCCAAATTTCCAATTGATACCTACAGGCAAGAACGGCCACAACTGAAAAACGCACAAGTCGAAGACTAGGTGAACATGCGTATATCATTTGCGATGGATCCAAAAAAATGAAACCATACCAAGATGCGAGGTCGCAGTGCTGGACAAGAACGGTTCGAACAACGCAGTAAGGCAGGATCTTGTTGAAGCTGGTTCAAGGATGCTTGACATCTCCAGCACTGACGTCCCCACTGCACCCCGAAGAAACCTTTGGCTTCCAGGTGTTTTTTGCACCGCATTTCAGACCACAAGGCTAAGGATGCAAAGTCAATCTGCTTGAGACCTCGCAAAGCACGGTACTTTTTGAATTTCCCACGGATTCCGGGAGAATAGCTGAGACCCTTCTTGTGAAATTCTCTGTTGACACCAGAACTCGTAGCGATGGTGCGACTCGGAGGTCGTTTGCGCCCAGAGGGATATCTATCATGTCCGAGGGATTTTTTCATTGGACGTTCCCTGTGTGAAACTCGGACCTAAAAAGGCTTTGCAAAAAGACGTGACATGAGTGGAAAATGGCCACTGGCTTGCTCAAAAAAACCTCACACCTAGTGAAACACATGGCACCCACAACTTCACCAACCAAATTCTGGCGACTGGGAGAAACGTGCAAGGTGTGTCTGCAGTCAAGGTATCAGAGTCATGGCCAAGTGGTTTGAATTGATTCCCATGATATTCGCGATTGACAGGCCATTTCATTCTGCGGAAACTTCATGCTTCATTCTTCATCAGGTGCAAAGATCTCTCAGCAAACAAACCGCAGCAGCAGCTCTTTTTCCGATTGGCACAAAGTTCTTCACACATCGTGCTCAGTGTTTCGGCGCAAACTGGCAGGGAGTTCTGCATACTTGTTTCTCATGAACTTGGGCAGCTCCGACCATTTGTCTTTCGGAACAGGAGCGGAAAAAAAACACATTCTTTTACCATCTTGCACTTTCTTGAACCTATTGCAAAGCAAGCGAATCTGTCCTGCAAATTGACCAGAAGCATAAAGGTGCGGCGACAAAGCATATCCACAGTCTGCCCGCATGCATCTACCCCATTTTGCGTCAGGCAGGGAGGTCGCTCCATCTTCATCTGCGACCGGTTTGACACGGTCCTCAAAGAGCGCAGCCCGCTGCAGCATCGACATAGGGCCGCCAGACGAAGACGCAGCCGAAGATGAGTGAGTGAGCTCGGCAGCAGAAGCTGAGGGCAACCTGAGATTCATCATTCTCAAATGCAAATGAATGCATCAGGGAAAGAATTGACAGTACAAATCCTTGGAAAACAATTCGAAAAACAAACCAAGAAGCGGGGCATTCACAGAGTGCTTCAAAAGATAATCGAGTTTTTGTCGCAAAGCTATAGGACTATCGATAATCTTTCCACCTTGGAAGCGCGGTGGCGACAAACTTTCCGATTTAGCTGACGATGCATCTCCTTCAGCATCTTGACTTTCGGATTCCGATTCCAAAGTCCACGTAGGAGCCAACATTCTTCGAATCTCCGGGCTCTCACAGACCTAGGATACAACAGTTTGAACGTCACGAACATGACAGTACAAAGTCTATTTCGTCTATTTCGGCATCCGACAAGAAATGATAACGAGGTCATCTAAGGAAGAAAAGTAAGATGTCAAGAAAAAAACTAAAACCGAACTCAGAAACAGGAATCACGGAGGGTGGATGTTCAAGAGTTCTGCGTCCTGCAGTCGAAAGCGGCTCAATGGGCTGCCCAGATTCCAGCAAATTTTGCAACATCATTTCACATTGAAAGCCCCAAGGTTCAGCCAACTCTGAGTCAGGAAAGCTCTGCGGCATTGTTCCACGTAGCCGCTTCTGCAACCATTCACCTTGTTGAAGAACTTTCACTGGCAGAGGCCTATGTTCTTTCACATAACGAAACCAAATTTCCTTGAGAACCGACAAACCCTGGCGAAGGCTCGTCCAATGATACACTCGTTCCACTGCAGCAAAGGTGGTCTCAGCTCCAGCATCCCCATGCCATTTCAACGCTAAGATGTAGTGAACATCCCACAGTTCTTCCGTGCTCAAAAAGGACCAAAGAACACAGACAGGTTGAAACTTTTCATGAGCTGCGCGGAGGAGAATTAACAATGTAACACCATACAGAAGCGGATCCATGGAAACAGAGCCCAGCAGCGAGCTACACAAGCAAAGCTGTGCTAGACAAGCATGACATTCCCATGATATTCGCGTTAAACCCTTTCTTGCGTTTGAACCATGTAACTACGAACTACTTTTGGAAACTTATATGTCTAAGCAAACTTGACGAACTCTCACGCAACCAAGAACTCCAACCAGCCCTGACACACCAATGCAGCCCAGCCCCAACATCTGAGATGCGTACCTGCAGCGCAGGTAGCAGGCAGACATGACCGGTGAAATTTACATAAACAAATCATCCTGACAAGTATATATTATTCAGTAAATATATAATTATATAATACAGTAAATATATCATACAGTTAACACAGACCCAACCCCCCAACCCCAAATACGTTCTTCGCGTACCATCAACATCGAAAGCAAGTGCACACACACTGCCCCCAAGACCTTCTGAGCGTAGCAACCCCCCCCCAACCCCAGATGATCAGCGTAACATCATCAGCGTAACATGAACGTGAACATCCCACCCCACCCCTCCCCAACCCCAGATGATCAGCGTAACATCATCAGCGTAACATGAACGTTAACATCCCACCCCACCCCTCCCCAACCCCAGATGATCAGCGTAACATCATCAGCGTAACATGAACGTTAACATCCCACCCCACCCCACCCCAACCCCAGATGATCAGCGTAACATCATCAGCGTAACATGAACGTTAACATCCCACCCCACCCCACCCCAACCCCAGATGATCAGCGTAACATCATCAGCGTAACATGAACGTTAACATCCCACCCCACCCCTCCCCACCCCCAGATGATCAGCGTAACATCATCAGCGTAACATGAACGTTAACATCCCACCCCACCCCACCCCAACCCCAGATGATCAGCGTAACATCATCAGCGTAACATGAACGTTAACATCCCCCCCCACCCCTCCCCAACCCCAGATGATCAGCGTAACATCATCAGCGTAACATGAACGGTTGACATCCCACCCCCCCCACCCCCCCAAACCCCAAAGCAACCCAGTAAAAACGGGGCTAACCCCCCCCGTCAGCCAATTGTTGGTTCATTGAACTGGTTTGAGGGGGAACACAGGAGATTTAACCAAACAGGAGGGATTTGCTTATTCGACAATGGATTGAATGGAGCATTAGATCGATTGAAGAGACAACTTGCAGGAAGCCATTATGAAATGACCCACACATATACTGCTTGGTGGTGTGGAACATGGCTTTTATTTTTCCATATATTGGGAATTTCATCATCCCAACTGACGAACTCATATTTTTCAGAGAGGTTGAAACCACCAACCAGATATAGGATTTCCTGTGAATGTTTCCTTTGTGACCAATTCTTGGAGATATTTGTATCTGGTGAAGCCAAAAATGAACCCTTTCTATCAGAAATGGGTGGCATGAAACCTCCAAAAATTGAGGTCTAGTATTGGCCACAGGAGTGTGTCGTTTGAGATAGAAGATCTCTGCAGCTACTGGTGGTTGATTGGATCTCGCTGTCCCTTCTGGTCATTTAACAGTTTGCTATGGAAAACCACCCTTTTTACACAATATCATAAGTAGGCATATCCTCGATAGATGGGACCTTTTTTTCCCCATAGCAAGCTGCTATACCTTAGCGGAAAGTCTCTCCAAAATCTGCAGGCGGGTGCGCAGTTGCTGGCGAAACACGGTCTCATTGAAATTGCTCCTGGGCCCATGCGGCTGGAGGGGTTGGAGATTTGCACACTTGGGGAGATATCAGGGATGTACGCCTATCTATAACAGCCAGTGTAGGCATGGAAACATTATGATGCAACTTTCACAGGGGATGTTGCTACCGTGCTAGGCATGGTGAGGATACCCATGCCTGGACAGTGACACCATGACACCATGACTGTGCCCGAGATTGTCTCAGAAATCACGACATAAGGAAGGTCGATGGTTGTGATGGTGGTTTGTAATAATTGATCATAATTGGCAATTAGATGCAATTAGCATGTCGATGATGACTTGAGACATCTGGGCAAATTTCAAGCTCATAGCTGGCAGCAGTTTCTTGCCTGCTGATCCTATGGCTTTGTCACGACGAAACGGGATACCCTAAAATCTCATGGTTTTCAGGGGTAAATCTCATTTTAGGACACACCCAAAGCATGGTGTTGGTGACGCAACCCCATTCGATCATAATTTCATCCCCTAAGTCCATCATTCATTGGTTAAGATATGTTGATATATCCATTCTATTCCATCCATCATACCGTATTTATACTATATTATATTATATCAAAATACATCATATTATACAGTATCATATTATATTAAATTACATAACATTATATTATATAATGTTATGTTATATTACATTACATTATATTATATTAAATATATTATTTTAAATATATAATATAATATATCCCAATATTAGCCTCCCTTATTGGCATATTCCCATAACTTGCCTTTCGTCGATCTCCCCTTTAAAAAAGGCCATCGACTATGCAGTGGAGCACAGCAATTTCCAACACGCCTTCGAACTGGCCAACTTGTCGGCGAAGCACAAGCTGCCGGACATCCACCTCAAAAAGGCTGTCGGGCTTTCGGAGGGTTTCGGATGTTCAAAAAGGAAGGCAGCAATTTTTTGCGTTCGGCTATGGTGGTGGATTTGGAGTGTTATTTTGTGGGAATCTCTGATATTTAATTTTATATTGAATCTTATATCTACTGATATCATCTATTAAAGAGGGAATCTCTACCCTAGGATTCCTAGTATCTTATATATATATAATTATATATATATATATATATGTACAGATTGTATCCTCAATCTTATGGGCCAAGCAACTCTCCAAGAAATTTCCAGGCCTTGGCTTTGGAAGATGATGAGCAGCCACTGGGACTGCGATCTTCGGCCGTGCGTGATTGATCACGGGGATGTCACGGGTAAATTTCCCAAACAAATCCCATTGTTGGTTGATGTTACCCCTGGAAAACCATAGGAAAACCATAGGAAAACCATAGGAAAACCATAGGAAAACCATAGGAAAATGGAGGTTTACCCTCTGGTAAATGTTTACATAGCTATGGAACATCACAATTTTTTATGGGTAAATCAACTGTAAATGGCCATTTTCAATAGCTATGTTTGTTTATCAGAGGGTAATAGGTCGGTTGAATTTGACATGACTATATAGGCTAACGATTGGATTTATGGCAGAATCTATATGTTTATATCATTTTATATCTACGGTTGGATGGGTGAAAATAAGCCAAAATTTGTGCTGTAACTGCCGGGGCCCTTTAGGCCCCCAAGAACGAATGACTTACCACGAAAATCCACTAAACATGACTAATTTTGTGGGCTGGGAACACCATTTTTGACCTCTAAGCACCCTTAGCAAAAATTGCCCAGAAACGCGGATTCTGGGAGACTGTTTTCGAATTGTTTTGTAGAAGAATCAGCGGCTTCTTGGATTGCACGTGCAATTTCTGGAAGGTACCCTCTGGTAATTTAACATAGCTATTGAAAATGGCCATTTATAGTGAGTTTTCCCATTTAAAATGGTGATTTTCCATAGTTATGTTAAATTACCAGAGGGTACTCGTAACATGGTCTATTTGACCACGAAGAATTTTCTGAACACAACTGTGACACCCCACGATCACGGGATAGACATGCATTTTCAGTCGAGGACAAGACCAGATAGATTTACTTGGATACTTCCTGGTGCTGGTGGCAGCCTGGCTCTTTTTCTGGTGATATCTCGCTACTAGTGGTGGTATGTCAGCTGTTTCATAGTCAAGGCCCAGATTGCCCATCAGATCCCTTAGTTCCTTCTAATTAGATTCCATTTTTTGATAAGGCTTTGTGAATCCGGACAACTGTCCCACTAAGAAGATCATGAGTAACTTATGAAGCCCATCAGATTGTTCAGGCGAGTTAGTTCACTCACCCACCTTGCCTGATTGCTCCTAAAATCAAACGGAATCTATACCATCAACAATTGCATGGTTCAACTACTCTTCCCAACTACTTAGCCAAAGCGTTTGTCTAAAAAACCAGGGTGACACATGATGTTGGCTACATGTATCCCATTATATACTGGTTGGTGGTTTCAAACAGTTTTTATTTTCCATAATATATGGGATAATCCTTCCCATTGACTTTCATATTTTTCAAGATGGTTAAAACCACCAACCAGCATCAATGATATTCCCCTTCTGGTTGCTATATTCCCATGATATCCCCAGAGCGCCCGACGCCCCGGGCAACGCGACGAAAAGCCGAGGTTTAAGTTGGCCGAGGAGGAGTTTATCCAAGCGAAGAAGCCCAAAGAAGCCATTGATATGTCCGCGGCGATGGTCAGGGATGGGGAAACCTGGTTTTAAGCGAAATGTAGCAAGAACTAAGAGATGTATGCCATCTATCTATCTATCTATCCATCCATCCATCTATCCATCTAGCCATCCATCCATCCATCCATCCATCTATCCATCTATCCATCTAGCCATCCATGCATCCATCTAGCCATCTAGCTATCCATCCATCCATCTATCTAGATACTGTATATAATATACAAATCGGGACAGAAACCCACTTACAAATTATAAACAATACATACTTGGACGTGGTGGTGCGCTGGGATTCAATGGAGAAGAACATTTTTGAGGCATTTCATGGTGGATTTGAATCGCTAGGCCGTTGCGGCCACAAGATGAGATATGATGAGATTGTGATGCCGATGACGACGATCATGAAGAAGAAGATGATGATTATGATGATGACGACGATGATGATGACGACGACGACGAGACGATGATCATCATGATGATGGTGATTGACGCTGGACCATTGATGCTCGACGATTGATGCTGATACTTATTAATTGACGATGGTATGCTCAGACCTGGTTGGTGGTTTCGCACTCCCTTCCAACTATTGGGGTGCCCAAGTGACAACTGTGACAATAATCCTGAAGAATGACAGGAATATATCGGAAAATCATAGTATTTCGGGCAAAAACCAATGGTTTCCTGTGAAAAAGTCCTGAAACCGTCTCGAATTATCCATTAAATGGTTAAAATCCCAATTTTTGATGGTTAAATCCATTGAAAATCCCAATTTTTGATGGTTAAATCCCAATTTTTGATGGTTAAATCCCAATTTTTGATGGTTAAACGTTAAATCTACCATCCAAATCCATTGAATCCTCACCTTTGGTGACCGTGATGGTCGTCGTCGCCAGGTACGTCCACCAGCGCGATTGGGTGTCAGCCATGCGGGTGGCCGAGGCGTCAAATTATTCCCTACTAATCCTACTCTAATTCTGTATACAAAAATCCTACTATAGACTATAGCCTATTCCCTACTAATCCTAGAGGGGTCAAGGTATCCATATTCCACAGCATTCCCTACTAATCCTACTATAATTCTGTAATTGATTCCACATTACTGTAGGGATTCATTCTGTATTCCAGGTATCCATATTCCAAATGACCTATCCAGTGGTTTTCCATCGATGCTGATTGGGAAGATCATCTCCAAATGGCCGACCGAAAAGCCAGAAACGGTCCCTTATTCCAGTAGCGGAGAAATGGGTGGTATAAAATCCTCCAAGAAATCGGAGCTAGTGGATTTGGGGTATATATGGTTAATACCTATTAATACCTATTTATGGTATATATATATATATCAATTACCATCGGAGCTACAATGGTATATACCCTCTGGTTATTACCTATTAATAGCATGGTGATTTTCCAGTTCGCTATGTAACAAATAACCAGATGGTAATTGATTTTGAGACTCGACTCTCGCATGAACTCAGAGGTCCATAATGACACAGCCCCGGACTCTGGTGGTGGGTCAGTGCATTTGAAACTATGGTGACTGAATATCGTGATTGATTTTGAGACAGACTTTTTTCCCTGGCAGAAATGGGAAACTATAATTTTGACTCCATTCCCTCCATTTGGACGTCTTTAAAGCAGGTAGGCCCGGACCGGGCCCTTTAAGGTAGAGCACGAACTTGGTAGATTTGAGAAGTTACACCAGTGCTCCATCCAAATCCATGACATACCCATCCTGTATCACATCCTCATCAAAGTGGAACCTCCAAGGATGTTGGAAGATGAATTTCCTCATTTTTCCCCCACTTGGGGCTTTCAACCGGGCCAGGCATACGAGCCGCAGAGCGTGAACGATGTCATGGTGCATCACGCCAAGGATTTGGTGGATCAAAACAACATGCAGGCGCCGAGTCAATCGAGTCGAAGGGTCGAGTCGATGGGAGGTGGTGGTTCCTGGAGTGATCTTTAGATCCGTTTTCTCGGATTATGTCTACCCATCGAACTATAGGTCATTCTTTCGGTACCAGAAACCCAACAGTTCACCTACTATGCACAAATTCGCTATCTAGCGGACACCTTGTGGTAGCTGGGGACGATCCTAGGCGGATTTCCCTACCACAACTGCTGGTTTGGAACATGAATTCCAACTTTTCCCCAAGAGTTGGGATGATGATCCAATCTGACGAACTCATATTTTTCCGGGGGTAGGTATACCACCAACCAGATAAACACTTAAAGGTCATAGAGTAATTCTAAAGCAACTTGCCGAACGAAATGGGGCACCTTGTAGGATACACCCCAGTTGCAGATCTTGTGGTTCTGATTTTCCGGAAAAAGAGACCTGAGAGAAGGCGACATTCATAGGTGGTTCATCCCAGTCATATGGCTATGCCTCAAAACCCTGGTACCCAAACGGTACCCTAAAATAGCTGGTAAATGGATGACACATGATGAAACAATACCTATTAAATCCTATTAATACCATTTTTAGTGGGATGAACATCCATTTACCAGCTATTTTGATGTTCACCAGGGGTACAAGGTTTTGACACACTGCCATATCTAGATATTGCCCCTACCCGAGTAGGAAAATTGTGTTTGTTCCACTGAGTTCGCTATAATCGAGGCAGCTGAGAACCTCTTCATCCAGGCTGGCAAGCCCGAACTGGCCGTGAAGGCGCGCATGGCATGGCCGGGGTTTTCTGGGGTAACATGGGGTAAACCCTGGTAGATGTTCCATGAAAGCTGCTGTGGAATAGTGAACAATTAGTTTTTCGGGGGGTTCCATGCATGATTCAAGTGGTCTTGTGACATGTTGTGACGTGTTGTGACATGTTGTGGCCCATTTTCTATTGGTCGTTTCAACCAGTTGTTCTTTTTCGTTGGACTTGGCCTGACTGTTGTATTCCGAACAAGTTCCTACTGTACGATTCTGGACATCCAGTTACCAAGATTTCACAATTTTGGCTCCCTATCCCCTCGATTTTTTGAGCCTTCAACCCCAATGAACATCAACATGTCAAAGCTATGGCTATGACCCAAAATCCCCCAAACAGGGCACCCCTGAAGCCCACAATCCGTCCCGGCTCACCGCTTCAGGCTTACTCCTCCAAACGCAACGTCCCTGAGGCAGTACGGGCCGGGGCGCTTGGTCTTGGAGAACTTGCGGATCGGATAGCGGTGTTGAGAGGCAACATGTTTCAACTATCTATATCCATAATGAGAATCAAGTTGTGTCCTCCAAATATGGGAATCTGTTGGATCATCATTAATGTCAACCCCGGATTAATCAACCCTTAGGCTGGTTAATTGGGGTGGTACCATTTTTTTTTATTGGATGAAATGACTATTGGAGGAGTACCCCCCTAATTTTCATAAACCATGGTTTAGTCTCATCCGGGGTTGACATTATGTTATATTATGTTGAGAATCATTTGTGGCTGACAAAGTGGCAGTGTCGTCCTGTACAGGGTCACGTCAGGCTGAAGGACACAGTCACTTAGGGAACCTCCCGCTAGTTACCCTCTGATCTTTTACATAGCGAACTGGAACATCACAATTTTCAAGTTTGGTAAATCATCGTTTTCATCATTTGTTTCTATGGGCCATGGCTTCCATAGCAAACTGTTAAATAATCAGAGGGTGATGAACCACTTTGTTGTAGGGGCTTATATACTGTCATTACTATCTTTATAGATACATATAGATACATAGATAATGACTGTACATCTGATATAGCTATGTTAGACAATTTAGGGTACAGTTTGTTTTTTTAAGCCTCCTCTTTGGTTGGTCCTTCAGTTCTTCTCGTCCCTGCATGAAAGGACGCCAGGGGAATGACAGCAACCAAAAACCCATAGAACTTGACCAGAAAACACATGTGAAAACTCATGAAATCCATGATGATATCCCCAGTATGGATCAGAAAAAGGCTGATATATACGTAGTATACGTTGGTAGTAAATATTCCCATTACATACCCATTACATACCTATTATTTCCCATTATATAGCCACAATAGTTTTTGTTGTTAATACCCCCATGATTGTTGGCTTTATATCCCCCCATCGTTGCTGTTCTTTCGAAGTCTTTCGAAATGGTGCGTCCAAAAACCATGGCGTCTTAGGTGTGCAAGAAGCATTGCCCTCATATGCTGGGAGATGTCGTCGACTCCTACGGCGAAGGAGGTGGAGCACCAGGAGATCCGGGGCGTCGGTTTCTGGGGGCCGACGTAGCCATGCTTTCCCCATGGAAGACGCCTCTGGTAAACATAGAAAAAGCGATGGAAAATCACCATTTTTAGTGGGTAAACCAAGGAACTCAATGATCTCAATGGTAATTTTCAATAGCAATCTGTTATCAGAGGGGCCATGTTGAATTCCCCGGTATCTCAATGAGACCTTTGGTTTTCACATGTCACCAGACCTCAGCCTGGGCCCCAGCTTTGAGTGAACAACGCAACACATGAAGCGGCTGAGCAAGGACCCTTTGAACGGTGGTTGCACACGACCTTGCGTTTGAATTCTGCTTGGGACAGATATTGTGTTTGCTGCTTCTGTGTTTCTGGCTCAATTGAGCCCTTGGTAGAGCCCTTAGTCGAAGAGGCCCAGCAAAAACTGGGCAATTCGTCCCAAGAAAGCGAAGAAAACCATGACTCCAATCTGAAATTTTGGGGTGTAAAATCTGGTATATGCATGGGGATCCCGGGATCCCCACATCACAAATTTGACACCTTTGCTGGGCCTCTTAGCGGCTGACGTCGTTAACAAATGGGAGTTGAGTATCGCAACGGTCCACGAAGGGCCACCGGGAAGTTGTGCAGATCCTTGGGGGTCAAGGAGCTGGACGACTTCGCTGTGGTTTTTTATTTTGAGGCCTGAAAACTGAGAAGTCTAAGGCCGAAGTCCCACGAGCCACGGCAGCGCAGCGAGGAAGAAGAAAGTTCCCCAGTCATTGCGCACTCTTTCTGCGCGTGAACGTCACATTTTTTTAAGTGGAGGATCATTTCAACGAGGTACAGGACCTGGCAAGAACTGAAGCGATCTTTGGAAGCTGCTCTTGGGACCAATGGAGCGATTGTTTTGGAGTCGCCATAAGCCATACCCCGATTCTTGTGATGATTGATGAACATGCGCGAAACATGTCACCTTTCATGGTCAATGATCTATGGCATTGACCAAAGGCCAAACGCCATGGTCCAAGAGTTAAGGGCCACAGGGAAGTTGTGAAGATTCTTGGGGTCTAGGAGCCTCGCGATTACACCCAAGAAACTGGGCGCTACTTACTCAGGCTTACAAACTAGGTGCGATTTTCAAGCGAGATTCAGGACCAGATCTCTCACATCTGCGAACAAGGTGGTGCCCCAGTTCGTGAACGCCATGGTTTATGGTAGATGTATTGAACTACTTACTATGGTTCATAAACCAACTTATATAACTGGGGGCACCACCTTGAAGCATTTTGCAAGAGAGTTACCATGTCACCTGTAGAGGTTTGAGAGGATCGCAGTTAATGATACGTAGCCACCTTAGCCACCTTGTGCACAGATCCTGATGGGTTACTGATACCATTTATGATACCTGCAGTTTGCAGTTTCCCCAATGTCCACTCGGTCTACCAAAGTCACATGGTTGCTTTCACTGTTCCAAAAAGCAAAGAAACACTACTGCCGTTGCGTGAAAAAGCACCCCTTGTTGCAGGACACGCGTGGTTCAGGGTTCCCCGAATTGGTCGAAGGGGGAAAAATATACATTTTACTGCTTCAAATCCTCCAATTCTGCTGCTTAAATGCAGTTAAATGCATCTACCTGTGACCAAACATCCAACTTTTGGACGATTCAATCCCCTTTTTTGGTTGTTGAGTTCAACTCCCTGAGTTTTTCTCAAATCCTCAACTTTCATTTCTTCTTCCCCATTCTGCGGCGTTCAGTTCAACATAGTTTTTCATTCCCCAGGTAATAAAGCTCAATTTCTCAGTTCCAAACCTCGTAGATCCATGAAAGTTTGTAGATCCAAACTACAGGCTTTCTAGGGTGGTATTTTAGGGGCAAAGGATCCATTGGACGTCTGTGATGGCCACACTTAAAAGCCTCGTGAGTTGTCCTTCACCGACTGGATGGGTACTGAAAGATCCTGGATAGTTTTTTGCTAATGGAAAATAACCATAGCCAGCAAACGATTTTTGATATTTTTTGTGGATCAAAGATTGACCATTCCTGCCCCATCCTGCGCAACAGATGGAGATAGGAAACGCATGGGTCCACGCCTCCAGGAACGAAAAACTGGGCCATCAAACCATGAGGCCCAAGTGATGCCCAAAGTGGCAGCACTAGCGGCGAATATGTTGCACAAAATCAGAGAAAGTGTTAGTCATAATAATATGAGAATGCATTATAGTCATAGAATTACATGAACAAAGAGTATTTCTGTATTTTATAGTAGTCATTATGCATATTAATGATATATAATGATATTATGTAATGTCTTTCCAATGCATATCTGAATACGTTTTAAATATACATAAGATTGAAACCACAGTAAAAACCAGTAAAAAGCCAGTCTGATCAGTGTGGCCATGGAGGTGTACTCGGCCTTATTGGGTGAGAGGTTGACAGTACTTGAGGCAGATGAATTCGAAGGTAAAACGGTGAAGAGTGTCAAGCAATCTTTTGCAGCACAGTTTCCGGGATTTGCAGAAGATTCTTTTTTGACTTTCCCAGGGGTTAATTATGGCTTTTTGGTTCCTTTGGAAAAATGTGCTCAAGATGATTTGTGGCTTATTTTCCAATGGGTTTAACTGTTTGGGGAGGTTGCTTGGAATATTTTACAATCTATTCTTATGGCCCCACAAATCTAAGGTTCGGAGTCTCCAGATTCAGGCAGCGGATCTTCTCGGAAGATGGCTCAGAAGAGATCCCGGATGATGATACCTTTTCCCTGGCGCCTGTTAAGATCCGGCTGCTTCTCTTGGAATTCTGCCCAGCTGATGCTGAACGAAACCAGCAGATGATTTTGGCATCGAGAGACAATGATTCAGTTTTACTCGAAGAATTGCTGCGGTCCCCGCAAGATCCCAATGTGGTAGACGAGGATGGAAACACACCTTTGCACCATGCGGCCGAGAACGGGCATGTCAAACCTGTGCAGCTGTTGCTTGAGGCAAGTGCTGAGAAAGATTTGGGACGCCATGCAGATGGGATGACGCCCTTGTATTTGGCAAGTGCGGATGCTCATTTGGACATTGTGCGGTTGCTGGTTGAGGCTGATGCCGACAAAGAGAAGGCTGCGAACGATGGAATGACTGCATTGGGCATGGCAGCTGCGGCAGGACACCTTGATGTTGTCACCTTTCTGATTGAGGCCGGCGCCGACAAAGAGAAGCTGCAGAATGGTAGAACGACAGTATTGGGCATGGCAGCTGCTCTTGGCCAGCTCAACATTGTCACCTGTCTGATTGAGGCCGGCGCTGACAAAGAGAAGGCCATGGACCATGCAATGACAGCATTGGGCATGGCAGCTTCGGAAGGACACCCTGATGTTGTCACCTTTCTGATTGAGGCTGGCGCCGACAAGGAGAAGGCCCTGAAGCATGGAATGACAGCACTGGGCATGGCAGCTAGCAGAGGACATCTTGATGTTGTCACCTGTCTGATTGAGGCCGGCGCCGACAAAGAGAAG